TTGACTTTGAATATTTTCTAAATTCCCTGCTGGTAAATGAAATTCCACTGTCCACGACCTATACTTCTGAGAAATCATGCATTGTGAACGATGCTCGCAGCTTCTCAATCATCATCCCCGAGTTTGCCAAATGAACTTTATACATGTCCAATCACCTTGAATGAGCATCCACGATGACCAGGAACACTGAGCCTGTGAAATGACCAGCCTCGTCAACATGCAACCCAGTCCAGGGTTTACCCAGCCATTCCCACAAATGTGGGGGCGCTGCTGGTAGCAATTTTTCTCCTTGTTAGCATCCTAAGCACTGCCCCACCAATGCAACTTTGTTGGCACCCAACCCTGACCACCAAACATAACTTCTTGCTAGCGTCTTCATTGTGGAAACCCCTAGACGGCCCTGGTGCAGTTCAGCTAGTATCTGGCAGCGACCTTTACTCAGGGCCATTACCCTTGCTCCCCACAGTAACATGCCATCCTCTACGGTGATCTGGTCTTGCCAGGTGCAGAAAGGTTTCAGTCCGGTTGCGATGGCCCTTTTGTCTCGCCCATTACCACCACCTGTTTTAGTTTCACTAGGACAGGATCTTATCGTGTCCACAGTTGGACATTGTCAGCGGTGACCAGAGGTGTGTCCAGGAAGTTTAAAACCAAAACGGACTCTTCCGGGGAGGCAGCACCAGTGGACTATCTGCCAATAGGAGGTGGCTCAAGGCATCCACATTAGCCACTTGGCTTCCTGAACAGCGTTCTAACTTGCACGTGTTGAGAATAAAAGGCCCAACGACAAATTCTAGTGGAAGCTACGGGCAGCACAGTCTTCTTTCAGTAGCCCTTGCAGGGGTTTGTGGTCTCTTACGATGACAAATTCCCATCCATAAAGGTACTGTTGGAATTTCCTCACACTAAAGATGACCGCAAAATCTTCCTTCTCCATCTGGGCATATTTGCGTTTGGCATCAGTCAAAGTCCAGGAAGCATACACTATCGGCGTTCCTCTCTGTTGGGCCAGCGGTCAGCTAACACTACCCCGATGCCGTATGGGGAGGCATCACATGTCAGCACCACCCCTTGCTTCGGACTGCAGTGGGCCAACACCTTAGATGATGGTAGCTGCTTTTTCACTTCCCTAAAGGCTACTTCTTGGCCACGTGACCATTTCCAAGTCTAACTCTTTTTCAATAGCAGGTGGAAGGGTGCCAAGATGGAGGCCAGGTTACATATGAATTTTCCATAATAATTCACTAACCCAAGGAAAGACCTAAGCTCCGGTACAGACTTGGGAGCCAGGGCTCCTTTGATCACCCTCACTTTACCCTGGCTGTCGACTCTGTAACCCAAGTAGGGCACTTGGGGCACCAGAAACACACATTTTTCTCTTCTAAGGTGTACGCCTGCCTGGGAGAAACGTTTAAGCACTATGTCCAAGTGCTCTTTATTGGTCGTCCCTGTTACTAGTACGTCATCCAGATAAACAGCAACCTGGGGTAGCCCTTGTAAAATGCTCTCCATGACATGCTCCCCAAATGACAGTCTTGTCTATTAGTATAAACCCTTATGGGTATTAATTGTAGTGTACTTCTGGGACTCCTCATCCAGTCGCAATTGCAAGTAGGTGCGGCTCATGTCCAATTTCGTACAAGACTGCACCCCCCCACCCCACAATTTTGTGTACAAGTCCTCTATGCGAGGGACTGGGTATTTATCCAGCTGTGAGAAGCGATTTATTGTTTGCTTAAAATCCCCACAAAGGCAAACTGAGCCATCAGGCTTCACAATTGGTATGATTGGTACAGAATCATAGACTGGTGCTGCCCATTCTGCAAACACACTGGTTTGATGATTCTTTCACTCCCCAGCCTCCTGATTTCTGCCTCTACTTTTGCCCACGAGGCATATGACACTGGGTGGGCCTTGCAAAGTCATGGAAATGCTCCCTGGTCAACATGTCAAGTGGCTTTGGCCCCTTTGACAGTCCCAAGCTCTTCCTGCAAAACTCCAGGGTATTTCACGAGGACTTCACTGAGGCAGCCATTTTCTAATCAAAAAGTGCTCAGCCAGTCCAGGTGAATCTTTCTTAACCAATTCCGCCTCAATAGGCTTGGGCCCGAGCCTTTTACTACCATCAGTGGGAATAGCACCAACTGTTTCTCATAGGAGACCGGAACCACGGTCATACCGTTAACCTGCAATGGTTCCCCTGTGTATGTTCTCAGTCTGGCTGAGGTCTTGTGCAAACTTAAAGGTTTGGAGACCTGAGCGAAACTTGTTAAAGACAGCATCTGCAACCACAGACACAGCTGCACTAGTATCAACCTCCATGGGAATTGGGTGACCATTTAACCAAACATTCATTTTAGTTGGTTCTGATTTGGACGTCGCTAAGCAATTAAATTGTTCCAATTCACATGGAGGGGAACTTTCCAGAGTGTGCACTCTCCTGGGTACCAGCTTACAAGTTTTCTTACTCAGGTCAGGCCTTGCAGGATTCCTTTACTGTCTCGAGTTCGCATACCAGCAGCAAATACAATGGTTTGCCGGCCCAGATCCTGAAGAACTTCTTAGCCAATCAGCCGAGGCTCGGCTTTGTTGTGGGGTTCTGCTGTGAGCTAGGCCTAGGGTCCCTCTGCTCAGGATATGCCCTGCGTGAGGCTCTGTGATTGCCTACACAAGTGGTGTTCACCAAGGTCAGTCGGACAGGTGAGGGTGTCCACTTCCATTGGGATACCCTGTAATTCCCACGCTCCACTTGCTGCATTTTCTAATGACAAGGCCAGCTGCGGTGCCTGTTTGAAGGCCAGCTGGGCTTCAGCTAGTAGGCACTTCTGCATGGTTACGTCACTAATCCCACACACTAAATGGTCTCTCAGCATCTCATTCAGGGTTAATCCAAAATCACATGCCTCTACCAGTCATCTTAACCTTGTCAACAATTTCGATTCCGATTCCCCCGGTTCTCTCACAGATAATTAAACCGTTAGCATCTCGGAATTAGAGTAGAGGTTTGGGGTCGTAGTACTCCTTAACTAACTCCATCAACTCTTGCAAGGTTTAGTGTCTGGTGCCTCTGGAAAAGTTAAGCCCCTTATAACCGAAAATGCTGCAGGTCCATAAGGAGTCACAATGATTACTCGTTGCTTTTTATCTGCCCCAATGTCACTTGCCTGGAAAAGGTATCACATTCTTTCCACATACTGGGCCCAGTCTTTGACAGCAGAATAAATGAGTCAAGCTTCCCAAATAAAGGCATGATGCCAGAAATGCTTACCCCAACTCCAAGATGACTGTGGCAAGCAAATGTCCTTCAGACATGTAGTTTTCTCCTGTCCCCACTGAAATAATTGCACAGAGGCCAGTATCCCATCACCAAGTCACCCTTTATTTACTTGTGCACAGTACACTGGCTGTGGCCAGCCAGCTCGGAGTCAGTTCGCTGAACTGAGGAGATTCTACATCTCCTGTTTATATTGGTCAGCCAGGGCTTTCCCATTTATGGTCATTAACCTGGGTCAAATTCAGAGTCAATGAGGTCCACCTGGTTCCAATCACTACATATTTAGTTCCCTCATCTAAATGATTAATACATGTTATGATTAGCTGGGGTCCAAACATTATCCCTTGCAGCACCCCACGAGTCAGTGGCTGCCAACTGGAAAAGGCCCTGTTTATTTCTAATCTTTGCTGTCTATCTACCAACCAAATCTCCATCCATGTCAGTACACTACCCCCAAACACATGCTAATCTCTTATATGGGACCTGATCAAAAGCTAGAAGTTCAAGTAAATTGCTGGGTGCTCTTTATCAACTGCACTGGTTAGGTATTTGAAAAATTCCAGTAGATTTGTCAAGCGTATTTTAACTAGACAAAGCAGGACACTGATTCAAGGCAGGTTTTTTTTCTTGACAGGATGTGGGTGTCGCTGGCTGGGCCAGCATTCATTATCCAGCCTAACTGCCCAAAATGCAGTTTATAGTCAGTCAATCACATTGCTGCGGGTTTACAGTCACTTGTAAGCCAGAATAGTTAAGGATAGCAGTTTCCTTCCCCAAAGGACAGTAGTTTTCCCTGACAATTAAATGGTCACCATTTAATTCCATATTTTTATTGAATTCAAATTCTATCATCTGCCATGGCAGGATTCGAACCCAGGTGCCCAGAACATTACCTGGGTGTCTAGATTAATGGTCACATGATAATACCGAAAGGCCATCACCTCTCCATCAATGGAGTTAAGCCACAAGTCAGCCACAATTGCAGGGAATGATGGAACAGGCTCACAAGTCTAAATGGCTTTACCTGAATCCGAGTTCTGAATTCTCAGAGACAGGCAGGTATAAAATCACACGTTCACTTGCTGCACAATTCCTTATTTGCCTGACACCTTTTGACAGAGTGCACACATAAGCCATAGCATTCACAACCTGAACTTTTCAATCATTATCCAGCACACTTCAACTGAATGTTTCAAACAAATGAAAAGAGAGAATCATGAGAAAGACACAACATATCAGTCTGTACTTGTAAAGAGAAAAGTTGTTTTGCCAAGCTCCCTTCACCATACATGTAAAGTACAGTGGAGCATCATTCAGCCTCTGCAACCTGTTTCACTTGGAATATCATAGATGATCTTCTCACAAGTGGCCCATCGTGTATTAGTAGCTTATCTTTGTTTAAATCAAACAAATTTGAGCAGATAAAGTTCAAATCACTCCTCCAACATTTATTCAACCAACCAGAAATGGAGTTCCCAGTAAATGATCTGGTTAAGGTTGAGATTTAATGAGGTCAGGATCTAAAGATCAAATACATAGCAAACTGGTTGATGAAGAGTGAATTGATCCACATGTGTGAATTCAAACTTCAGCTGTTTTATTTCCAAACGCATTGGGTTTTTCATGAAGACAAAAGAACTTACATTTGGCTATTTTCACTAAAACAAAAATATGAGTTCAAAAAAATCACAAATGGTGACAGCAGAGCAAACTTTTAAATCATTACCTTGAATATTATTGCAATAGGGATGTCCTCTGACAGAGTATTGTGTCGCAGGTAGTACCTCCCTTGCTTCACAACTAGGTTTGTTCTACTTTTCTTCTCATGAGTAGAACTGCAAATTGAGTGGAATTTTGTTACTAATCATTAGGTGATATGCAAACTAGCAGAATAAATGAAGGCTACACAATAATGAACTATACTTGGTTGGTCAACAATTGGTACTAACATTTTCATTTACAGCTCAGCATTCTGTCATACAACAGATGTAAAATGTCAGCTGAGAGTCCACCATCACCCTTACAGTACCTAGACGAGGTAAAAGTATCTATTCAACATGATAGTTCTTTTAAAGAGTCCACACATTCCATCATTCTGAGTAAATGATTAAAAGTCATATATTTGAATTAAAAAGGTGCAAGACTTCCAAATGTAATTACATGACTCAATTCTAACTTTATTGAAACAAACCCAGCCCAAAATCTATTTCATCTTAAAGATGTTCTCCTTCAATTTATGTTCAAACTACACACTGAAGTGCAGGTTAATGCATCATTGCATTTAGAACAACCAAACCCACATTGGGTGCCCAAAAGACAAAACCAACTCAGCATATACAAGACTGATTTCAAACCCTAATGATATTATTTTAAGTTACTGTGGTGATCGAGTTACAGGGTGTTAGCCAAAGGGAAATGAAATGCCTTCTGTTTGGAAAATTAGCATCAAGGATCAAACATTCCCGAGTCAAATTTTGCTCAAATGTGAAATAAGTCTCCCGCTAACTCAGCGCCAAAGCATGCCTTGCAGCACTCTTCCTGTACGAACACACAATGTGGGAGAAGTAGGCCAGCTGCTCTTCAGACCTGCTCTGCCATTCAATAAAATCATAGCTGATCCATTTATTTCCTGGATTCCACATTCCCATCTGTTAACCTCACAAGTGTAGTGCACTGGAAATCAAGTCCAACTATTCTCAGAACCACCACAAACATTAAAGATTTTACAGAGTTCCCCAATTTAATTGTCTTTAGGACAGAGGTTGTGAGAAAGCTTGGACCAGGTTTCTGTGTTAACAGAAATTGGTATTTACTACAAATAAATAGGCTCTAGCTGTAATTAAACATTTATGATCCATCAACACATACCTATTAGTCAAAATTCTAACCTGTTCACAGAACTTTCCTTGCACATGCAAAAAACAACCAACTGGTGATATGGGTGAAGGAGAAATGAGGAAGAAGTTCAAGCTTGATCAAAAAACACAAAAATGTTTTTTTCTAAATCATTTTCACTGCCGGTTTAGATTGCCTTGTTTTCCTTAATCTATGATATTTTATTTTTTCTAAACAAGTTTTGTTAAGTTGTAAAATGCTGAAGTTTTTAATCGAAGGGTGTAACTATAAAACTAATCAGGGAGGTTAATAGCGATAATAAATTATGGAAAATGGAGTTACTAATTTGAAAGAATATTTACTTTGTGCTGCAAAACTGTCTCCAATTCAGTTTATATATAGTCTTCAGTTTTACGATTTCATATTAAACAAGCTTGCATGTTTAAATGTTGCTGAACCATTGTAGAAATTACATCAATGTGCATGGTTGAAGCTTTAAAACCAACACAAGAATAGTTAGACTATATTAAAAATGGTCAAGTAAATACATGGTATCAACAGTTCTAATAATGCACACAAAGTAAATGTGCTCAAATGTAAGCATTGACATTCCTAAAGAATTGATTCTGGAATCCTGTAAATTGTCAAGATCCTAGTTTCAAAGACTCAAGATTTAGTGAGCATTTATCAGTGAATGTGGCTCTGAATTCTATATTAATAATTTCAATCAAATTACGGAATGCAGTACCTGGTCACAGAGGCACCAACAGTTCCTTTTCTGTCTGCATCCACAATTATTCTGTTTTTTGAAAGTTGTTCCTGGATAAGAATTACTTTTTCAACACCTTTAACAATGAAATAGCCACCTACAAGAGACAGTAAAGGTTTAATTACGATTTCACACTGCATGGGAAATTATTCTAATAAGGTACCAATACAAAATCATCTCCAAAGCTATATCTTCCTTTCATTTAGCAGTGTATTTAGTATCTACTGTTATGCCTCACTGCAGTAGCATGCTTGAAATCAAGCTCCACTATTACCATTGTCTTCATAAAAGTTAAAGATTTTGCAAATTTTGCATAATTTTCTAATTTGCCAGTCTTTTAGACCCTGGTTGATATAAAGTACAGTCAGCTTTTTGTACCTAACAAGAGTTACTGTTTATTACAAAAATATTAGAATCTAACTACAGACAATGAATTGTCGACAGATAACTGCTAGTTTTAAAATTCTAACTTCCCAGACAGACAGACAGGGAAAAAAATAGGTGTTATGCATTGAGGACTGGGTTCAATGATCCCTGTCCACAGGGTTTGCCAAGATGATTTTTGTGCTGATTAGAATGCTGCTTCTCAATCTTACTTCTCTTACTTGCTTGAGGCACAGGATGACTGAGTCACACTTATGACGGTCTTTGACTTGCCAATTAAAAGTCATAGCTGATGAGGGAAACTAAACTAGCTTTCTTCAGGCTTGAGGTGCTTTTTAACTGCAGAGCAAAAGCAGCTCCTTCCCTTCAGAGGTCTGACAGCTTCTCCCTCAAACATTCACACCCCCAAGTTAGCTGGGAGTCAATAACAATTGTTGACAGGTAGAAGACCTTTGCCAACACTAACTGGTCACTAATACACAGACCAATCAGCTTTTTGTTGCCAGCCGAAGCTCCATTCATACATAGCTCCCCACCACCACCCTCCCGCCCCGGACTCAGCTCCTTTTAAAAGAGGCTTCAACTGCTTACACAACAGCTGTGCAAACAGCACTTGCAATGAGTCAAGTAACTTGCTTGTAAAAAAAGTGTAATCCTTGGCTTGGTTTTTTAAGACAATCTTTTCCCTTTTCAGTCCACAAAAATACAGCAAAGTCATAGTCTCTAATTCTTACAGTCTTTAAGTGTGGGGAATCCTCTCAGTTTATGGGTAAACACTGCACCCTCAACCAACAGAACCAAGAGGAGACTGACTGACCACTCATTCTGCATCTGGGATATTACTATGTCATCTTGGCCTAAACAACCCAAAACAATTTGCTGATCCAGTTTATTAACATGATTAGCCTCCATGATTGTGTTTCACAATTACGTGAAAAGAGTTTTGCACAATTCTGAAAAGTGTGTCAGAGCAAGTGCTGGTTTTCTGTTGATTGGTATTTCCGAGGTAACAAAAGCAAACACTTTATTCACAAATTTAGCTTCAGTCACGTGGACTGAACCTCCCTTCAGTCCCTCATCACTTCCATATCTGTGCATATAATTTCTGTTCTTCTTTGGATTTTCTGTACGTTCTCAATCAATCATGCATCTAGCTCATTACTGACTTAATTTTTCTCTCCCCAAGTCCATAATTATTCAATCTACAATCTCTAACTTTCTCCTCCTCAAAACCCACCAGTCCAAGTATTTGATCACCAGTGCTACCATCACTTTCTTGGGTTTAGATCTTTTTTTCATCTCTATAAAGGCCTCAAGACATTTTTCCAGGTAAAGGGCATTAAAGAAATGCGAGCTGTTGCTGTATATATATTATGGGCTGATTCAATTTGATAGAAATGAACAGTTTCTACTTCTTTTTAAACACAGAAACACAAACACAGAAGAATTTTTGAATTTCAGGGATTAAGCAGTTACTGACTGAGATACAGGAACATAAGAAATAACTGTTGGGGTGGGCCACTTGAACTTGTGCCTGTCTCAGATTTTAGTTAGAGCTATTCAGTTAGCCTTTTCTTTTAAATTCACTCGTGGGTTGTGGGTATTGCTGGCCAGCATTTGGTGCCCATCCCTAATTGCCCTTGCTGCTTCCAACTGCCCTGCAAAATATTCAAGTATCTATCAAAGCCTATTCTGAAGGTTGCTAAAGAAGGAGGCAAGCCAGAGAAGGTTCATGAGGTTGATTCCAGATATGGAGAGATATTCCTATGAGGAGAGGTTAAATAGGTTGGGCCTGTAATTATTGGAGTTTAGACGAATGACAGATGATCTTATTGAAATATACAAAAGATTCTTACTGGGATGGATAGGATAGATGTTTCCTCTTTGTTGGAGAGTCTGGGACTAGATAACATAGTAATCTCAGAGTAAGGAGTCATCCATTTAAAACAGAGACAAGGAGGAATTTCTTCTGAGGGTAGTGAATCCATGAAATTCTTTACCATTCAGGATTGGAGAGGCTTAGTCATTAAGCATGTTGAGGTCTGGAATGGACACATTTTTAATCAGTAAGGGAACCAAAGTTATAGGTAAAAGGCAGGAAAGTGGAGTTAAGGCTTATCAGGTCAGCCGTGATTTCATTGAATGGTGGTACAGCCTCAATGGGTCAAGTGGCTTACGTCTGACTCCAACATCTTAAATGCATTAAGGCCATATTTCCACCAGCTCTTCAAGCACTGCATTCCAGATTATAATTACTTACAGCATAAAGGAAACCTTCATATTTGTTCATGATTCTGAACATCTTTATAAAATCTTTTAACATTCTCTGCTCGAAGAAAATAATGACATCTTTCAGGTTTTCCTCATAATTGAAAACGTCATCCTTGGTAAATTTCCATTCATTATCTCCAAAGCCTTAATATTCTTAAAATATGATGTCCAGCATTGAATACAGTACTCCAGTTTACGCAGGGTCTGCAAAATATTCCTGCCCTCCCACATGATGACTCAATATGAAGCCAAGGACATCTGTACTGAATTGCCAGGCAGGCAACATTAACCAAGCATGGCTAATCTTCTACCCTATTCCTCTTTGCCACACACTCCACACTTCCCTTACAACCAAAAAAAATCTATTGCCTTCTGTCCTGAATATACTCAACAACAGCACTAACAGTTCTAAGTAGAGTATTCCAAAAGTTCACAACCTGTTAAAGGACAAAAATTTCTCATCTCAGCCTCAAATGGTTGACCCCTTAATCTGAGATTGCAATCCTGTGTTCTAGATTTCCCAGTCCCTCGGCTTCTAGCCTGACATCTCTTTAAGAAATTCATATGTGTCAATCTGATCACTTCTATTTCTTCTAAAGCCCCAGGAACCTAGACATTATAATGAACGGGATTCACAGAGTTCCAAAACCTCGAGTAAAAGATCCAGTTATACGGGTAATCATTAATTACCCGGGTCCAGAGGACATTCATTCAGTTTTGCAAATTCTGCAGGAGTCTTCCCAGTAAGCACACAATTAGAGCTACGCAGCATTATAGGCATCCTGAGAGAGAAAAAAGATTAAATATTAGACAGGACAATAAAGAATAAAAGAAAAATGAAGCTTTTGGTTGATTTGCTTACTACCTGCCAATGGGTAATGCATTGCGTATTATTCGCTGGCTTCCTCTAGTGTATTCAATGTCCACTGTAATTGGGGCAGAGTATGTCATATCTCTCAGGCGACACTGAACATAGAATTACAAATAGACATCAATTACTTATTTATTCGTTTTAAGAAAACGGTTAACAACTGGCTACAAATCAAAGCAGTACTTGAAATGTAGAAACCAATTTGTTTGATAATTGCTAATTATATCAACATTTGTTAATTGTGGTGACACTGCTGAACTGAACAGAATGGTCACA